TTTGCCACCCCATGAACACAGAAGGGAACGGGGAGAGGGTCAAATAAATCACAAATGCTTGCTTGTGTCCCTGCCCCGCTGTGACAGGGACTGCCAGGGCTCTGCCTGTCCAGCCTTGGTCACCAAAGGACACCTTGAAAAAGCCAGCTCCAGTATTGCTGTCTGTGGGCAAAAAGACAAAAAAAATTTTGCTAAAAAAAGATCTCACCGAAGGAGACGAGGTGGCCGAGTGGTTAAGGCGATGGACTGCTAATCCATTGTGCTCTGCACGCGTGGGTTCGAATCCCATCCTCGTCGGGTGCCCTGGTACCCCTCTCCTGAAGCAGATCTTTTGGTGCAGCCCGCTCAGTATCCTGCTCTCCGTGTTTTGCTCTGCTGCGTCAGACACACATCACGTCTGCCCCTGGACTGCTACTCCCGCGGGCTGAACCTGCTCCTGGTGGCTCAGGGACTGGCGTGTCCCTTTTGTGCAATGTCCCATGGGAGCAGGGTGCCAGAGCCCACCTGCCAGCCTCTCTCCTGCCATCCCATCGCCTCTTCTCCAGGGAGACTGAACTGTAGGCAGGGAAGGTGAGCACTGGGCATCTCCAGGGATGCCGATGGGAGCCAAAAGCCACCCTGGACGTCTCTGCCGTGTCCCAGAGGTGCTTGTTCTGGGGATGGCAGACCTGCTGGGCGCTGGCAGCTCCCTCCTGTGCCTGGAGCAGTGCTCACAGTGGAGATTCCTGGAGATAGGAGAGCGTGACCTATTGCAAGATGAAGAGGAAAGAGGTAAAACTGCCTCTGGAATCTCAATGGTCTCTCAGAGAGGAAAGTCCTGCATTTGGCAGTGTCCATGCTTTGAGGCACCTGGGGAAAGGCATCGTGCCAGTCTTGCCACTGCCTTCCCTTCTCCCCTCTACTCCTCTCCGCTGATGAGGATGTGGCCAAGCAATGCCATGGCTTCAAGGCAAGGATAAGGATGCTCAGGCTTAGCTGCCCACACCTTTTTGACCTTGCCTATGGCTACATTTCCTTCCACGCCTTGGGGAGATGTCCCTGGAAACCAGTGAAGAGCTGCTTCCCTCCATCAGTGTCTCCTGAGCCAGAAGCCATGACCAGGCTGCAGGGAAACACCAGGCCCATCCCATTCCACTGCCATGAGATTCTGTGGTGCTTGGCCAGCTCTGCCACGCCAGAAAAGGGGGATGTCATTGCCTGGAAAGCCAGGTGCCCTGCAAGAGATCTGTAGGAGATTTCCCGGGAAAAAATGCTTGGGTTTGGGTCCAGCCCTGGAGAGACACCAGCTTGCAGCTGGAGATGGTGAAATGGGCTGGGGTGGTGAGTGCAGGGGTATGGCAGTGCATGGCAGGGAGATTGCTGTTCAGAGCACGGGACCTGGGATTTGCAGGGCACAGGAAGCCAGCAGAGGATCCCCACTGATTCCCTTGGGACACCCTTCAACCCTGCTCTAGCACACACATCCCTGTCCTGGTGAGTGGTGACAAGTCCTCCTGAAGGGAATGTGCCACTGTGGGTGGTGCTGTGGGGCGTCAGCTCACCCAGGGACCCGGCAATTACAGAGATCCTGTGGCAGCATGGAACTGGCTCATCTGCAGCCCCGGGACAGCGCCTGGCAGCTGGAGCCAGGCTCTCCCCAGTGGCACCAGCTGGGCTCCGCTCCCTGGGCTGCACACAGTGGCCCCGGAGCATCCCGAGTCTGCCCTGGAAAGGACACAGGAAGCCAGGATGCTCCGTGCCTGGATCTGGCTGCATCAGGATTCTGCCTCCTGGCACTGGGGTGTCCTACTCATCCATCAGCCATCTAGGAGTGGTCCCTGACTATCCTGCTGCTGGGAGGCAAGCCCTGGGTGAGCACCCTGCATGCAGACATTCCTTGGAGATGGGATTCTCTAGGCCTGTTGCTGCTCTAAGATGTGCCCTTGCCTTTGGCTTTCAGGAGAAATTTTAGGACAGGGGGGAGCTTCCGCCCTCCAGCCAGTCTCAGACACATTCAGCCCTTGGGTTGTTGGAAATCAAAATGCAAAGTGGGGAAATTAGAGTTGCAATGTGCTGCTTGGGCTGGTGAAGGAAGGGAAACACACGGATTATTGATCCTGGGCCATATTTTTCATGTCCTTACCTGCAGGAAGAAGCAGGACTGAGATGGCCACACATCCTGGATCCATGCAGAAGTTAAGAAAATGGATCTGACATGTTTGATTTGGTGAAATTTTCTCAGATTTGTGGTTCCTCCAGAGAAAGTCACATCTCAAGCGGAAAGTGCTCATTCCTGAAATGAATACAGATTGGAAAATTCAATCTTTGTTTATCTCCCAAATATCTGCCCTTTCCCCTATTGTTTTCCTTTTAAAAAAATTCAATCATTACACAAATCTCATTATTTTAACTTCCTAACATGCACCTTTTGTTTCCCCTGCTGTCTTGTCTAGGAAAAGGACTTGTTTCAGTCCACAGATAGGCTCACATTTGGCAGCATTCCCCCTCTGAGTGCCCCATTGCATTTATCCCAAGCATCACTACATCCACAGATATTATTCTGGAACATGATGGTCCAATGTGAGCAGAACCTCAAGTGGTTAAACTGGATTTCAAAACTGAAACACACAGTGAGGCTTTCCACCCTGTGCCTGGAAGCCTGGAAGGGAGTCACCTAGGAAGAGCCACAGAGGCACAAAAAAAACCCCCCAAACAACCAAAAAAACAAAAACAAAACCCAAAAAACCAAACCAAACCGAAACAAGAAAAAAAAAATTGATTAATGAAGGGAAAGAAAACCAGACTGGTAGAAGAGAGGTTTAATTCTCAGGCTGTGGGTCCAAAGTGCACTTGTGGTACCAATTTATTATTCAAGAGTGGTGCAAAAAGCAGCACAGTAAAGCTTAAACTAAAACCTCATCTTTTCCTGCTTGCCAAGTCATCATTTAGGAGATTATGAATGATGAACCCACAGTGTCCTGCCTTACTCCATGAGCTGCCAGGTTGGTTCTCCCTGAAGCCCATGTCCTCTGCTGAACCTTGGAAAACCTGATTTCCTTTTTCCCCTTCCAGAATGATGTTAAAAAATAGTTGAGTTTGACCCCAGAACCTTGGGAAGGCTTTGTTGCCCTGACAGACAGGGCAGAGGGGAGTTAATAGGGACCATTCTGTGCAATCCATGGTGGCCAAGTCATCTCAAGAACTCAAATGACCCCAAAAGCCCCACAAGGCACGTCTTTAACAGGATGCTGACAACCCCACACACGCATAGTACATGTGTCACGGTACTGTCAGGGTTTATCCCAGGGTAGGAGATGTTTGTTCCATCAAATGGGCTCCGCTGGTGTGAAATGAAAAGCCTTTTTCAAACTTTCCTTGCCCCTAGAGCTCGACGACATCAGCAAGTCCCTCTCCCTGTTGTGAGGGTGATTCATGTTTAAGTGCAGGTTGGGATGTCTGGATGTTTAGTAGCTAACAGGCTTCCAGCAGAGCGATCAGCTGTCACACCACAGCCTGTAATTACTGTAATTAACCCTGTCTTGACGATGTCACTCCATCACGAGGAAGGGCACCTGTGACCTTCTGGCTCACTGCTACTACCCTATCTGAAGAGCGTGATGGAAGGGCTCTTGGAAGTCAACTCCCTGCACAAAATCAGCCAGTGTAGGTGTGTGTCACCTGTGGGGGTGGACTTCAGAGCCCATGATCACTTTGTTTTAAAATCTGATGTGCCTTCCAAGCAGGACTCATACCCCAGGTGTGAGGAATTAAAACAACAGCAAAAAAGGAAAATCCTCTAAGTGCATCCAAACCCATAACAAATTGCTCATGCTGGGCTAGGTCAGATCCCTGTGTCCACGTTGTTCATATCCTCACTCCTACAGCCCCGCAGCTTTCCTGCCATCCGTGAGACTCCTGGCACAGGATTTCAGTCCAAATAGATGTTCCTTACATTCAGTTTACATCCCTGGTCTCACCTCAGGTGCACCAGGCAGCTGAATTGGTCGTGCTGAGAAGAAGCTGGGGATATGTCTGCCCTAAATTCTGCTGAAACACTCTCCTGCCCGGTGGCATAAAGACCTAAAATGTCCCTTGGCCTTAGGAAGGAAGGTAATTAATGCCTGTAGCCCAAATCATTTCAATCTTACTCAGTATTACATGGAAGCAAAACATGAGAGATGAAAGAGGGAGCTGTTTAATCAGTCGGGTGAGCTTTCCAGGAGAAAACTGCTGGTTGTTGGGCACTTTCAGGCGCAAGGCACGCACCCACTCCCCTGGGGGTCTGGGCCACCCTATAAAACTGTGGGGAAAGTGCTTGGCCCCAGCACCTGCTCCAGCTGCCGCTGCTGCCGCCACTGCTACATCCACCTGGGTAAGTCGAGATGGGCTCCATCCCCTTCCCCACCCCTCCCTCCTCCATTGCAGCTGCACAGGACATCAGGAAAGGGTGTATTTCTGCCCCAAAATGAAGAGTGCAAGGGGTTGCAGGATGCAGGGCTTACAGGGTTTGCAACCATATAATCAGTAGAATCCTGCACGATTTTCCTTGTCAAGGAGAAAAATAAATTAGAACAGGACATGCCTGGGTTGCAGAGATCGATGTGTCCCTGTTTATGGATGGGCATTAAAGGTCCCTTTTATTTTGGGATGGGATGGCTCACCTCGTGTTGATTGAAGTGGGTTTTCCTTCAATTACGGCATCTTGTAAGTGCCTTGCTCAAAACAAGCTCCCTGTCAGCTCAGAGCTGGAGTGAGTCTGTTCTCTGGTCCCAGCATCTGGTGCCTCCAACTTTCCCAGACCACCTGCAGGTCAACCCAAACTCCCCTCATTCTCCCGAGCTGTTTATGGGGAGAGGCGGGGGAAAGCCTTCTTTTGGCGTTTCTAAGCCATCCGAACACCCTCGACCTCCCATGCCTCTTATTAAGTGAGGTATTGCAAGAGGGCTCAGCAGGAACAGACCGGCCCCTGCCTTGCCTTTACACGCCGGCTCTGGCTTTCAGGTGCGCACCCTTGCCGAGCCATGCCTTGCTACGACCTGTGCCTGCCCTCCTGCGGTCCCCGGCCCCTGGCCACCAGCTGCAACCAGCCCTGCTTCCGCCGCTGCGGGGACTCCACTGCCTTCATCCAGCCGCCCACGGTCGTGGTCACGCTGCCCGGGCCCATCCTCAGCTCCTTCCCGCAGAACACCACGGTGGGCTCCACGGCGTCGGCGGCGGTCGGGAGCTACCTGCGCTACTGCGGCGTCCCCGTGGGCTCCCGGGGGCTGGGCAAGGCGGGGCTGCTGTGCCTGGGCACCGGGCTGTAGAGCGTGCCCGGCGGGCTCCTTTCTGCTCGTGCCAGCGGCGTGGTCGGGAAGGGCGAGGGAAGCACGCCACCAAGACTGGGGAAGAGGACTAAGGAGATGCCCCTGGGTTTCGCAGCAGTTGCCCCAGGAGGATGGGAGCTGTGCGAGCTTGTCGCTCCGGACCATGCCTCTGTACACCTTTATCTAATTCTTTATATTTCCATGTTCTACACGGCATTTGCTGCTGGCTGGGCAATAAGTACTTCTAGCAGGCTGTAGATGGCAGATGATATTCAGGGGTGGTGGGGCAAGGGGACACCTTGTAGGGATCAGCTTGTCCCAAAGCGGGGTTTATCCATTTCTTTATTGAGCTCTGGAAATGCACTTGTACTCTGAACTGGTTCAATTTCTGCTAATTAAAGACTTGCTACATCGTAGCCTGAGTCTTCTGTTGTTCCTTGTTCGGGAGCCTGGAGGGGTGACCTCCTCTGGAGCAGCTTGTAGCTGCCGGGAAGGTTTGTTTTTTACATGAAATGGGGATTTCTGCTGCCCAGCTCTTCCCTGTGCTGACAGAAGTGTGTAGTTTGCCACACCAGTCTCAAGGCAACTTTCTCATCCTGGAAATCTCTCCTCCTGCCCCATAGCAAGCACCTGCTCAGGGAGGAATTCCCGCAGGAGCGGACTTCATTGCCTGTTTCCTCGGGAAGCTGGAAATGTGAAGGTTTGACATGAAAAATGGCATTTACCCTACATTTTGCAGCGATTGGGGGGGGGGGGGGGGGGGGGGGGGCTGAGCTAAGGAGGGTGGATATGGAATCAGGAAAAAAAGGTAGAAGTGGGATTCTTGGGAGATGGGCTCCTTTGGATGGGCTTCCTATGCCAAGCTCACCCTATGTGTAATGGGTGACAGCGAAGAGTGAAAAAAGAACATACAATAGTTGCTTTATGGATAGGGGACACTGGAGTCTCTGAAGATGTCATGAATTGAGTAAAGCCTCTTTTTAAGATGCTATGGTTCATCAGGCAGAACCTTTTCAACTGATGGAAGGAGGAATAGGAGTATTTGAATAAAGCTTGTGAGAATTGGTAATGAGAGATTATGCTGAGCTTGAAAGCCTATTGGTCATGAAAAGCCTTTGACCAAGCTCAACCAGTTTTATTGCCCAGAAGACCTTCCCAGAGGTGCTCCTAATTTTGAGAAAATTTACATGGCAATTGCTCAGTGGCCAGGGCACCAGGAGAAGGGAGGTTTCCTTCTTCCATGGACTGCTCAGATATTTTTTATCCCAGCTCTGGAAATTGTCTGTAGAGATAGGATGCAAAATTTTGAATAAAAAATTACAGAAAGCTTTGGAATTCCAGAAAAAGTTTTGTTGGGAAGCTCTAGGTCTCTGGGCCTTGTGCAGCTGCCTTCCTCAAGCCTGCTGCACAGAACAGTCCGGGAGGGAGCAAGTGGACAGAATAATGACATTTTTTATGTAGCTTTGCACCGAATGACTCCACTGGTGAGGTTATACATATTTTGTTTTTTCCGAAAATCCAATGTCTCCAAAAATCTACACAGCTCCTTGATTTGACTTGAAAATTGTGGTGTCTTAGTGCAGACAGGGAAATGATGACCTTGGTGCCTTCCACGGCTTCCTATCCCGAGGGTCTGGGGACTCTGTCTCCCATGGGAGCCTTGACTCCAGCTGGGATCCGTGCCTCCTTGGCTCCCAGCTCAAGAGCAGTCCTGATTTCACCACATTTCTCCCCCAGGCCAGCCCTTCCCCCAGGCAGGACCCCCCAGACCTGCTGATCAGGCCCTAAATACAGGTTTCTGTAGAGGCAATGCAGCCAAAGTCTCCAGTGAGAAACTACTCATAACAAGACAGGGATGAAAAATATTGCTCAACAACTGGAAGCACATGGAAGGAAATAGCTGGGTCCTGGGATTTGGTCCCAGCATTGCCTACCTATAGCGTTCAAAAGCAGCAGAAGTATTTTTGAGAAGAGTCTGGAGTATGGCACAGGTGCCACCCTCTGGCCCATACCTGTTGAGGTTCATGTCTCCTGCTAACTTCCATCTTCTCTCAGCTGCTTCATGACCTTGGAGGAAACCTTCTTCTGTGATCACTCAATATCCTCAGGCTCCTGAAGCATGGGTGCCTTCCCACCCTAGGGGTGGATGAGGTGGGAAGGAGAGGGGAAGTCACGATTTGAGGAAGAACAAGCACAGAGAGCTGTGGTGGAAAAGGGGAGATTGCTGTGAACAGCAAGTGAGCGGGACCATTCATAATGGAGACTTTGTCTGGGAAGAGTTAGGCTGGATTAGGAAAAGGTTTCTTCCCCCAGAGGGTGCTAGGGCACTGACCAGGCTCCCCAGGGAATGGGCACAGCCCCAAGGCTGTCAGAGCTCCAGGAGTGCTTGGACAACACTCTCAGGCACAGGGTGGGATTGTTGGGGTGTCTTGTTCAGAGCGAGGAGATGGACTTTGATGATCCTTATGGGTGCCTTCCAATTCAGGATATTCTATGATACTCTAGAAGCCCCAGGCAGCATGGTGCTGGTGATAGGGCTGGAAGGATTGGTGGTGGCTGGATCATTGGTGGGTCAACACAGCACCTCAATCTGCAGCTTCTCTGCACATCCAGGTGAGAAGACAAAAGTTGTGGTGTGTCACAGCAGTGGGAGAGGATGAAGAGACAGGCCCACCACCTGTGCCTTTCCTTTGTTGCAAAAGGTGTATCCCAGACTGGCACTGGGGTACTTGGCTGAGGACAATGCTGGGAGAGTGAGCTGCATCAACAGGCAGCATCCCTCATCCTCCTCACTGGGGCAAGGACTGCTGGCCAGAGCACTTTGGAACACACCTGGAGCCATCCAGGTGAGAGACAGAGGCCCTGGAGCTGGGAGCCTGCAGGCATGGCAGGTAGTGTGATGGGACCTATATGGCTAGTCCCTGGATGTGTCCAAGGCCAGGCTGGATGGAGCTTGGAACAACCTCCCAGATTGAGAAAGGGGAAAGTGGCTGCATAGCCAGGAGAAGAGGGAGGAGAGGGCACCACTGAGGATATCCCACCCCAGACACCCATGGATCAAGCACAGGGGAGGGGCTCAGGGTGCCCTCCTTGCCACACCTGGCGAGCCAGACAGGCAGTGGCTCTTCCAAGGGCTCCGCTTCTTCCCCGGGGCTGGAGATCCCATGAAATAGGAAAATAACAGGCTGCCCACATGTGTGAGTCACAGGGGAAGAAGCAGGCAAATTAAAAGGCATTGGCATGCTGGTCTGGCCCTCCTGGTGCTCCCTGTGGGAATGGGGCTCATAAGACTTAGATCCCACATCCCTGTTAGCTCCACCAGCCCTGTGTCACCCTGAGCCCACATCACCAGCAGACATTGCTCCTGGCTGTCCTACACCCTCCTCTGCTCTGAGCTCTTGCTGTGGAGGGCAGCCCTCAGGGAGAGTCTGGAATGAGCGCAATAAAAGCGGAGCCCAGATCCCAATGGTTTGTAGGGTCCTGGGAAGGAATCTAAGTTTTAAACTCAATAATTCTTTGATTAAACATTCCAGGGCTCCTAATTCACGTTTGCTGAGAAGTGTCTGCATACCTCCCAAAGAGGAGAAGGGTGATGTAGTTACTGCTATGTGGGGTAGCTCCTCTCAGCACTGGTTACATGGGCTTGAAGGCGCTGGGTGTCTGTGGAGGGTTACAAGACCTGGAAATCGTGGGGTGCCGTGTTTCCCTTGCCTGATCCCCTCCACCACTCTGTGATATGAAAGGTGTAGCTGAACCATCCTCCCAATTCCCTTCGGTCTGCTCAAGGGGTTTGCATGGGGGGTATCTCTGCTCTGATACAGCCATGTGTTACAATCTGCATTGGAATATTGCTAATCATCTTGCTGCACTGTTCTCCTTGTGTGAAAGGAGGTTCCCAGCAGGTGGGACTCCTGCAGCAGTTCATCTTCCCACCCCAGCACAGCTACAGGCAGCCCAACCCTCAGGAGCTGTGTCCTGAAAAATCCCACATGTCTTGCCCTGGAGCTGCGCCCCCATGGCACCCATAGGAGCACCAGCACCCTTCTGACTCCCATGGGAGTTGGGAAAAACGAGCAGATGGGGGAATTTGCTGGTTACTCGGCACTCACAGCTCCTGTCCATTGTCCCAAAGCCACACTGGGATATGTGAGGCTGTGACAGGGATTGGAACAGGGCTGGTCCCATATCCTGGCTTGGCAAATTCCTGCAGGCAGTATGGAGCCTCAAGGGTCAGCAGCAAAGTGCTGTCGGAGCAGGGGATGTAGCTCAGTGGGAGAGCGCTTGCTTTGCATGCAAGAGGCCCTGGGATCAACCCCCAGCATCTCCATGTCCTTTTGCCTCTCCAGACTCCTCCCTGCTGGATGCAGGGCTGCCAGAGTACCCTCAAAAGGCCCTGGGGTTGCCTCCTGGCATGGCTGGCCTGGAAATTTCTCCTCAAGGCTGTGGGTGTGCTGGGGAAAAGCACAGCCTCCGCTATACCCCAAAATCCAAACTGTAGGGCTGGGGAGGCAAAAGGGGTGCAGCACTCCAGACGCTGGTGTAGGGATAGGTGTCTTGTACTTTTGGATGCAAGAGATCCTGAGTTCAGCTCCTGAACCCTCCTTTGGATACAGCTCCTCCTTCTTGGGAGCAACCCGTTTTTTGGATAAAGCCCCGGCTATGGAGACAACCCTTTGTTAGGACAACTCCTCCTTCGGGGACTGCACCCCTGCTGCTCTCTGCTGACCAGGTGCGGGATGATCAGCTCTTGCATCCCCTAGCTACCTGCAAATAGCATCCCGTGATGAGAGGCTGTACCGCCTCTCATTCCGCGAACATCACTTTTGACACAGAAATACGACGGCTGCATTGCCAGGAGAATCTGCCCTCCCACTACTCCCTACGGCAGGGGATGTAGCTCAGTGGGAGAGCGCTTGCTTCGCATGTAAGAGGTCTTGGGTTCAATCCCCAGCATCTCCAGTTGTTTTGTGATTTTTTTTTTTATTTTTCCCACTTCCCCC